GTATTGCCCAAATGCTCGGCAACGGAGCTTGGAACTTGAGCAGTGACTTTTCCAGTTGTCATAGACCTTGTCTCTGCCGTGTTCAATCCTTCGTTCACCAAATTGGTAGGATTGATGGCTTGCTCATCAAAGCAATCCGCACAAGGGGTTGCTAGTGTCGACTTAGAAGCCCCTTGTTGTTTGACGTCATTTTCGGGCACTGGGGAAGTCACCGGTGCTCCGTTGGTGATGCGCAGAGATCCAAATTTCATACCACCTAGTTGCTTGTAGTTGGCTTCCACTGGCGTAACGGCCCGTCCTGAAGAGTGGGTTTGCGATGGGATTGTGGTAGGCATTGACATACGTCTTGCCATGCCAGACTCGATCGAATTGTGCCGGGATTGACTTGGAGTTGGTGGGAGACTCTTGCGGAAGCTCGATTTGGCTGAGACCGGGGGGTTGGAATGGTGGGCTCTAGTTGCTACGCCTGGGGTTTGCACGACGGAGCGGCGGCGCATTGGCATGTAGAGAGAAACGTCTGAATTTGTCCTGCTGATGGAAGAGCCCGCAGAATGATAGGCGTTGTTGTTGTCATCTGTTACATCCTGGCCGGCCTCATCAGAATGGATCTTAAATTTGGAGGTGATAGGCTCGCTAGGAAGCTTCTCTTTAGCACCGAGAAGCAATTTGGGCTCAGCAGCTCTCGTGTTGTAGCCAGTAGAGTCACGCGGTACTGCAACGGGCATGCTATTTTTGAGGCAGTCAGCTCTATTTATCAACAAGCATAGACACGTTGCACAAACCTATCAGCGCGGGCGAGTGTGCGGTAACCGCTATCTTGGGCCATAGAGCTCGCCCTGGAGCTGTTGACGAAGCTTGGCAACCTGGGAGACTGCTCTGACTGGACTGATGACCTTCGTCGCATTGAATCACGCCGGGATTCTCTACAAGTAGGACTTGTCACAGGACTAACACCGTCACTAGTAGGGACGGCTATACCGAGCCCAGGCGCCACCCTCCTCGTGGATGAAGCCTTATTAGGAGTAGGCGGCAGCGATCCAACAAGATACGAGTTGGAGTAGTGCTCACAATGGGGTGTCACGGCAGTAGCAGCGTATGGCAGACCAGCTGCTGTTGTCTGGCTGCAGTGAGGTGGCTTGGATAGTTTCCGATGCCCGCGAGGGGTTTCGGCGGATTGTTCATTGCCCATTGGGCCAAACTGTTTGCACTCCTGGCTCGTGAGATGCTATCGGAAGCAAGAGATAATGGGTGCTCGGAAGGAAGCTTATGAGGCTCCTCAACGAGCAAAGACGATCGTTCACTGGTACATAGGCGCCTCCATGCCGTCAAACATGAATTATCCCGTGTTCTACTCAGGCGTGAGGAAGGATAAAGTGAAGGAACTTGGTGTGTGAAATGGTCGGGACTGGTGTTGTAACAGGTGGAATTGGTTGGTTCTCAGAACTATGAAGAAGAAATAAAAGCAAAAGGAAGCTCAAAGATATGAGAGGTGAGAAGAGTAGAAGACAGAGAAGAGGTTGGACGAGGTGGAGTCGAGTTTAAAGATCCATGACAGTTTTGGCGGAGTTGACGCTCGCATGAGGGGAACTGCCGGACAAGGAGAACCTGGTTGTTGAGGTGAGGTATGAGATCCATGTGAGGGGTGAGACCAAACCGAGCAGGGGATGGATCATGTCGAGACGAGACGCGAGCATCAACAACAAGCCAGGCCAAGAACAGAATGAAGCAGCCACAGCCAAAGCGGATTAGTTGGTAGACGGACGAGACGGAGAAGAGCGCTGACGTGACAAAAGGTGCAGGAAATTGAAGGCTAGAGCTGCCTCTGTCCCGGAAGAGACGAAATCTGAGTTTCCGCAAGCCTGGACGGGAGGAGAGATGAGATGGGACTATCGCAAAATCGCTACCTAAGTTAGACCATCCATGATATGACGGGAAGAAAGTGGAGGTTTGTTTAGTCTCGGTCCTAGGCTAGGATAACAACACAGCTACTCCGCTACGTAGCAGTTAGACTAGGCCGTACCTACGTCCTGCCTGCAACCAACAGCTAACCCAACTCAGAGCTCTCGCACTAGCCAAGGCACATCCATCGATACTTCCGATCCTAATACGATTGAGGTGGGCTAGGTAGATTGGACGTTTCGACAACCGCCCAAGGGCCGATAACCAATCAACTTATCCACTCGACAATTGACTTCGGATAAATCTCCTCGATTCAGAGGCGCCAAGGTTTCATTTCAATGTGGTCTCCAAAGAGATAACAAACATGATTCAACCAAGAGGTTGATTTGACACCAAGGGAATTTAATTGACTAAGCATACTCTCCTGTGCATGTGCGTGCATACGTACGTACGTACTCTCTCTGATCATGCACGACCCGTCCGCCATTCGAGGTTACCTCGAGACGTCCATCTGCTGCTACTCTGATTAGGTTTATTCCATTTACTCTCGGTATCAGGCTACCTACTAACTTGCAGATGAAAACCTTTACGAGGATTGAGTTGCAAAGCCATGCATGTACATGCAGCAGCCACAACCAGCCAAAGCATGCGGTGTCATTGGAATGGCCGAGCAGATCAAGTTTTGACATTCTCACACGTGAGAGGATTGGCAGCGAAATTGCTCTCTGAGAACAAACCATCATCTTGCAGGCGTCAGATCCTTTGTGATTCGAGTTTGACCGCATCAAGGAATTGAACCCGTCAGTATAGGTCTCTATAGTACAGCACTGACCACTTGCTATATGACAACACACAGCGCCGCTTTTTCTTATATTGCAGGGCTGCTGTTAGCGGACACACCCCCAGTCTTGCGGTCACTTACTGTCTCGTCCAGTTCCATGACGACCAGCCGAAAGCCACCGAAAGCTCGCTCACTCACTGAGGACGGCTGACATGACGCTGTACAACGATGGGCTGAGTTACAGCCTGCAGCATTACTGTGCTGCCTTGTCCCCTCTGGCCTGTTCATTGCAGATTTTAGTTCTGACTGTCACCTATGGCTGTGGCTGAACAAGAATAAAGTCAAATAAAACACGCAAGCCGTCCGAGCGCCTCTCCCGTGGATACGATGCTGATGCTGATGCTGATGCTGGCGTTGTATCATCAGAGGCGATGCAGCAACTCATGTTGCAGACCGGCCGGCGAACAACTACATTGCTGGATACATCACCGGCCAATTCAATACGATATGGCTGCATCGTGATTTCTTCATGCCGTCATCTCCGTGTGTTGAATAGGTACTGAACTCAAAGGGATCCATACAGTCGATACCGAAACATACAGTCAAGGTAAAATACACTTATAACGTGTTGCAAACACACCGACCACCTACACCGGAGCATTTCAAAATGTGACCCAATTGACAACGTACGATTCCCATGAGAGAACAAGTTAGTAACGGTTCCAGACCAGAACCGCCCACTCGCTTAGTGCAGGTAGGTACCCAAGTATCTTTCACATATAGGCCAGGCAAATAGAGTAGAGCAGTAGAAACAGGATAGGGTAAGATAAGATAGACAAGGGTTAGTAAGGTAGAGAAACATTATGCGACTCGAATCAAGCTTGACCCTCTGAGGCTTTGGGATACTTTCCCAAAACCTGGCCACGGTTGCAGTCTGTGAACTCTGATTTGTTTATCAACGCGTACAGCCACGCCATGCTCGCGACGACTTTGTTTACAGGCCAATGACGATGCTTGTTTCCTCGATACTATGTTTTGAAACTGTACGGATAGCGTACATACTGTCACTAAACTGTCTGTCTCCATCACCACGTCTTATTTGTTGAGTGCGCTAGTAACTTCACACATCGTCAATTGTCTACACATACTTTGGCCAAGATCAGAGATGTCAACGAATACCACCGAAAAGAGGAGAAGCCGAATTCTATCGTGCATTGATTACGACGCCTTTCTCCTCATCGCCATCCCCGGCCCCTCGTAAGCATTCTGGCTTGATGTGCGTGAGCCGCCCGTAAGATGCAGACATTCAATCAAGCTTTCAGATGTGACAGTCGGCTAGCTATTGAAAGTGAAATCATAGCATTGCCTAACACTAGTTTCACTTTGCCTATATGGGCAGCCCGATGATGTGAGTTGAATTAGCCTCCGCTCCCGCTTCCTCATAAAGGCAATTGGCCCAACCTCTCGACTTGAACAAAGCCTTGTGCTCCGGATGACGTTACACGCGATGAACAAGATGCTTCCAGTGTGGGGAAGTGCAATAACTCAAAGGTTCCATCCATCGACCAAACAAGACGAGCGGGGGGTTGCATTTACACATGGGTTCTGCCAACGCCCAAATATAGCCGAGCGAGTTCATACGATTGAGGATGGGCTTTTACTTCCCGGTAAATTGCATGTTCATTCCTTGGTGTTCCTGCAAAACGTTCACGTCTGTCAAGACTGTTCTCAACCATGAGCAGATCCAATGGTAACAGTGCTACCATTTCGGCACCAAGACAGACGCTTTTATCGGAGTAGACGATATCAATTCATACTGTGAATAGAATGGCAATTAGGAAAGTCGTTCATATCCCAATCAAATTCTCCGGGATCGACATGCAACTGCTCCTATTCCTATCCACAGATCGATCGTCCGACTATCAGCGCCATTGGCCTGTCATGTAGCTTATCTTCAGATGTTAGACCGACAACCCCACGACGATGATCTTCATCCATTCTAATTCTAAGTAAGCAAACCAAAACTCTCATCTCTTCTTTCACATGGAATAACGGGGACCAACCTCTCCGATTTCTCCCCCGCAAACGCCGCCTTTTCTCTATGACTCGGATACGGAACATGATTTCTGATCCGGATCAGGTTTGAAATCTCATTCGGCTCTCGGCTCTCGCCCCAAGCCTGATTCATCCCGTCCATCCCCGTAACAGCACTCTGCCAGGCGTTCAAAGCTCGTCTCGGTTGCAAATTTGGAGATCCACATGCGGCGCAACGGAACCAGTGCGAATATGGCGTACTTTGTCACCGCAACTCAACAACTTCGGGCGAATGGTTTAGTGGTATAATACTCCCTTAGCATGATTCGTTCAACCAACGATGTCTGATCTGGGAGTGGTCCAGGGTTCGATTCCCTGTTCGTCCAACGTAGGTGGTTAAATTCCATCACTCCACATTTTTTGCCTAGAGCTGGTCCATCTTGAATGCCTTGCTGTGAATTGCGCTGTGTTTATGTTGTTTGTAAATTGGTGAACTTTTTTGTCAACTCGATTTGTCCAAATTCACTACCCTAGACCTTTGCACATTTTGACATTTCGCATTGAAACAATATTTCATCAAGAACAATCATGCTACGAATTTAGATTAAACACAAGGTGTTGCTATTAAAAGATAAACTTGTGTTTTATTGTCAATCGGAGATATTGTTGAAAATTAGAAACATTGAAACTGTGGAATCCTTCATTCACCAATTACCATGGTACACCCACTCCCTCCGATGATAACTTCGTGAACTCTTCCCGCATCAACATCAATACGTGATCCAACAGTGTATAGCTGCTTCTGGTTGTCTTCCTCTTGGGGATACCACAAGGTCATCGACCCTTGGGTGATTAGATGGGTAGTCAAGGACGCATGAGAATGAGGTGGATAATGAGTGTTTCTGTCTTGAGGTTAGAATGAAGATGGGGCTTGCGGAGGCTGTGTAAGAGCCTCATTTCCAAAGCGACAGGGTGGTTGTGCCTGATGGGACAGGGAACATGAGTTGGGATGATGACTTACGGGGAATCACTCCAAGTAACAACACGGTTGAAGCCCCAGGCTCGCACCTGTTCTTCGTATTCATTCCTGAAGCTCATGATGTTGTTGCTGGCTGTGTCGCTGTTGGATATATGTGAGCACTCTGCAACGTCCAGAAAAAAGAACAATGTATATTAGGCAGCTGCTTATTGTTGTTTGTTCATGCAGGTAGGCAATAATTTGATCATAGAACAGCGGTAAGTTACTGACTTTGACTGAGTGAGATGGCTGTGTATCAATATTCAAAGTGTTGATGCATTTGAAAGAGTCGACAGTGACGCTGACAACTTGAATGTTCTTCCTATGATCTCATAACTATCCCCCCACAGGCGAAGCCACTAACCGCTGGCAGCTGGGCCCAGATACGGCTCGTCGAATAGGCGATCATATGACCGTTGATGTCAACGTTGTCGCTGCTCCCACTTTAAGTTACCTGCCTTTAAAGCAATCATAATTTCACCTGAAGTGACACAGAGAACACAGCCTTAATGCTGCCCAGCTTCATTATGCTGCCTGATTGTAATTGTGGTCAAACACATAACGATTACAACCAATCTCTCCAATCACGTCTTGGCCCCCCAAGCCTCCATGCTACAATCCTTTTCTCAGCCCCAGCTCCATGTCCAGTCTTACTCCAGCTGTTTCCCCCCTGCTCCCCTAGGGCTGTGCTGCAGGACGCTAGCAGCCCGTCCACTAAGACCTGGACTCGCCTGCTAGCAAGGTTGTCTGCCCATCCGTCTCTTGGGCCCCGGCCCGCCTAATTTATCGCCTATCAAACGGGGGTGCTGACATCTAATGCATCTATCTAGTCCCTTTTCTTTCCTTTCTCACCTTCCGTCTTACCTACTCACTCCTGCCAAGTCAGAAACGCATTTGTTCTTAAAAAGCTCAACAACAGTGATCAAGAGTGATTGTAAACTGAGAAATCCGGGACCTTTCTCTGTGCTGTATGTTTGGCTAGGCCAGCGGGGCACCCCTTTCGCTCCAATGGTTCTGGCCGTTTAACTATAGCCGATATCGCCAGCTTCAAGTTCCAGTCCGCTCGCAGAAATCACAGCCCGCCATCATGCCTCTCTGCGGACTCATAGTATGTCATGAAACTCGTCCAGTTATTCACGCGCTTTCGCTAATCTCATAATCTAGCGACACCGCAGCGCAAAGGGTGACAAGCCCCGGCGCGCGCGTACCATGTCCATCTTTGGCAACTCGAATATCCTCGCCATCGGTGCTCTCAAGGGCATGGTTCGCTTCACCACCGCTGCTTCTCCAGCTCCCATGCACGGTTGGGATTCAGATACAACGCATAAACCCCTCCCGACCGACGAATGCTCCAGTCAGAACTCGAATACACAAGCACCAATCACCAATATTCCCGATATTCACATCACCAATGAGATGTGGGAAACCCTCGACCGTACATATGACGACTTGCGAGGCTCAGAACCCCGACTTTCCAAGGCCAAATTTGCCGAATTCCTGCGAAATGTACAGGGTGAGAGTGAGAGTGCAATCAGCGAACTGTCTAAGGAGGATTATTCACTTGGCGAATTCAAATATACATGGCATACCGACTTCTCGTGGGAAGCTACCGCGCCCTTGCCTGAAAAAGACCTATCAAAGCCTCTCACAAACTACTTCATAAGCAGCAGTCACAACACGTATCTCGTCGGGAACCAACTTGCTTCCTGGAATAGAAGCTCTCCTGAGGCGTACAAGACGGTATGTCGAAAGCATAGCTCCATTCCCATTCTAAAGCTTGATCGACTGACTTGGATCTTCAAAAGGTTCTCCTCCGCGGATGCAGGTGTATCGAGATCGATGTCTGGAACGGGGATACCATTATTCCTACGACAAGTAATAGGTCTGCCAAGATCGATCACAAACGCGGATTATCGGGCGAATCGTTTCCCAACGTCGCGACGACTGTAATCGAGAAATTCGAAGATTATCTTACCGAGAAAGCTGCCAATCGCTCCCGTAGTGGCAGTGGCAGTTTTGGCAGTCGAAGTTCTTCGCCCAGATCAAGTCTCAATCGTGTCCCCCTCGAAACTCGCGAGTCTGGCGATCTTCTCGACGTCGCAAAACCACCCGCGCCTCGCCCAAGGCAGTCTTTCCCCAAGGACGAACCTATAGTAACACATGGATGGACCTTGACTGCTCCATGTGGGTTCAGAGAAGTGTGTCGAGCAGTCGGTGAGGCCGCATTTGTTGATAATGATCTCCCTATCATTGTCAGTTTGGAGGTACACGCAGATGAGGATCAGCAAGAAGTGATGGTCAAAATCATGAAGCAAGAGTGGGGACAGATGCTCGTGGACAAGCCGTTGGACGACATTGGACCGAGGATACAGCTCCCGAAGCTGGGCGAGTTACGGAGGAAGATTCTCGTCAAGGTCAAGAAAGCACCAGCAAAGTTCGTGGTTCCACCCAGCACCATGGATCTGCCTGCTATCTATGCAAACGACGAGGATGCATCTGGCTCTGAGGATGAGCGTCCATCACAACCTGCGGGGCTTTCTCTGTCCGGTTCCAACAGCACTTTCCCTTCCCATTCAAAGGCCTCCAACGCCAAGGTCAACATATGTGAGAACCTTGGCAAACTGGCCATCTACACGCGAAGTCAGCACTACAAGTGCCTTGCAACGAAGGAAGCCAAGATCCCAGCCCACATCTTCTCTATCAGCGAGAACCGAATCCTTGAGCTCAATCAGAAACAGCACCGCGAGATGTTCGTCCATAATAAGGGGTACTTCATGCGTGCTTTCCCTGCTGGCCGAAGATTTGATAGTTCGAATCCAGACCCAAGCCTCTTCTGGCGGGCCGGCGTCCAAATGGTCGCTATGAACTGGCAGTATCTAGATGAGGGCATGATGCTCAACGAGGGCATGTTTGCGGATGAGAAAGGTTGGGTCTTGAAGCCCGAGGGCTACCAGAGCTCAAACACGTCTACAGAGACCCAAAGCGATGCCGCCCCAGGTCGCACCATGAACCTGAGAATCACTGTCTTGGCTGGTCAGCACATTCCAATACAGGCTGGCGATGCAGCCGATGTCAGTCGTTCCGCCAGTACCCTCCGCCCGTTGATCAAGGCGGAATTGCATGTAGACAAACCGAGCGACACTGAACGTGATGGGCACACACAGGAGCACAAATACAAAGACAAAACGGACGCTGGCAAGACAGACCATCCCGACTTTGGTCCGCATGGTTCGCTTCTACAGTTCATCAATATTCCAAAGGTGGTCCAGGAGCTCAGCTTCATCAGGTAAGTCGTCAACATATTCATTCTGTCACATATCGGGTTTGTTGAACCCGTTCCTTACGCTCGGACCGTCTTTCGTGCTGTAAAGCGCGGACAAGCCGTAGTTGTACGTGGAAGCACCGGGTCATCATGACGAAGTCAAATAAATTGCGCACCACCGTGGTTTGCTTTTCTTGACTGTCATATATGATCAAATACCGTCGAAGACACGACGTGCTTGAGGACATAGACATTCCGTGCGCAGTAAGCAGGGCGCACTGCGAATCCAAATCCAAATAAGCACTCTGGGATGACGAGTAGTGTTTATTACGCCCTTTCAGCGTTCGCTGTCCAGCGGAACGGGACGAAATGCTTGTTTCTAACGCTTGCGCGACTCAGTTTGCATACGAGACTAATGCGATCGTGATTTTAGGTTCAAAGTCGAAGACGATTCATCCAGGCTTGGCAGCTCGCCACTGCTTGCCTGGGCTTGCATCCGACTCGATCGCCTACGTCCAGGCTATCGGTTCATCCGACTCATGGACTCTACGGCCCGCCCCATACCAGGCGGCAAGCTGTTGGTCAAAATCGAGAAGACATTGATTTGATCTTCGTATAGTTCATCCTTGCACATGGCGATGCGCTTTGAACTCCAACGATGCCTGTGCATCGTGGTGACCTTCTGGTGTGGTTGACTTACAACACAATACACGGCACAACGATGCCGTACCGCATCAACACACTTATTATTTTACTGTCGATCCCACTCTCCAACAATGTTTCTCGTATATTTGCTGTTCTGGCATCCACCAGGAAGATCGCCAGGAAATTTGACCAACGCTGAAACCAGACAGAAGTTGGAATATTTGCGTGCAACTGGACGAATTTATATACAGGGATACTGCCGGTCAAGCTGTATTCGTTTTGAGACATATGTGTACGGTATTTAATTCATAGTTCAAAAGGGGTTTTGTTTAGATTTAGACAGGAGTTTTGGGATACCCGGGAAAGAATGAATACTTTTTTCTTTATCATCAGTGCCTGTTGTTTCCAAGGTGGCTGGCTAGCTGAAGGCCCTGTGACATGGATCAGTGGTCATCTGTTAG